GAATGCCAGGGCATGTCCGGTGTCGCTCCTTTCTGGTGACAACCACTTCTCAGCCCAGGGAGACTGACAACTCTCCAGGGCCACACAAGCTGCAGAGCTGAGACCTGACCCGGGCCTGACCACTCCAGAGCCCCTACTTGTTTTGCGTGACTGACACGTAGTAACCACACATCCATCGAGTGTGATGTGATGCCTTGATACATGCGTCCGTGTGCAGGGAGCCAGCCGGGGCGTTGCGCGCCCACCGCCCTGAACACGGATCGGTGCTTTGTCTGCAGGCGACTTTGGGACATTGGCTCGTCACCGCATGGAGCGACAGAACGCCACACGTGTTCCGTCACACCGTGACTCTGGCCCCGTCTCCCCATCCAGCATCCCTGTTCCCTATAAAGATTGGGGCTCCCCCCTGAGGACGCTCACATGGGCTAAGGCTCAGGAGCTAGGTGTGACCACGTGCACACCAGGGCAGGAGACTGAGCGCCCAGGCGCTGGAGACAGGTGTCCTGGGGTCCGAGAGCAGCTCCGCCAGTGCTGCTGTGTAGCCCAGGGGCAGCGCTTTCCCACAAAGCCTCGCTCATCCCTGCTGACGCGGACGCTAACAGGGAGAAGTCCCCTGTCACGACCAGAGCCACTTTTTGGTTGGTTCACCCAAAAAGCTGGATCAATAAATAACTAAGAATACCTTTTTTTTTAAATGGATTTTGCCTTAGGGTTTGAGCTCACCAGAGAGAGACAGAGATAGTGAGAGAAAGTGAGAAATCGCCCCCAGGAGGGATGGCCATACCCAATCCCTCCCCCTCCACCTTCCTCCCCGGATCTTGGGCATTCGCACACATGCCGGCCATGATTTTCAAGCCACCAGGCTGCGGACTTGAACTGTGGCTGGCCACGTGGGCGTCTAGCAATATAACCAGTATGCCATCTGCTGGCCCAACTGCCTTAACTTTAAAAAGACTATTTTTTTAATAAAGGAATTATGTATTTAATTTTATTTATTTATTATTATTATTTTTAATTTGACCAGAGAGAAAGAGAAATGGGGAAAGTGAGACAGCAAGCCGCCAGGTCCAGGACTCGACTGCTGTGGGACATGTGGGGTGCAGTGCCCTAACCCCACACCAACTGCTGCTTGAACAACTGTTGTAAAACATGTAAATGTTACATTCATTTGGCAATGTTTAAAGTTTATCTGTCTACCTCTCCCATTAAAGAGAGAGAGGGAGGGAACCAGCAGTTAGCATAATGGCTATGTCGCTGGACTCCCACGTAGTCGACCGCAGTTCACGTCCCAGACCCAGGGGCTTAAAACTCACGCCGGGCGCGTGTGCATGCATGCCCAAGATCCTGAGAGGAGAATGGAGGAGAGGGGATTGTGGCGTGACCATCCCCCCTGGGGGGCGATTTCTCGCTTTCTGTCTCTATGTCTCTCTCTGTCTGGCTAGCGAGCGCACATGCCCTACAGTGAAAATCTCTCCAAAAAAAAAGAGAGAGAGGGAGAGACCCTGGCCCCCAACACAGTCTTCCACGTGGTGATCAAACCATCCTCCGTCAGCCAAGACTGTGGGCACAGGAGTGGCACCGGTATGTGCAGAGAGAGCTTGGGATGCGAGCCAGGGCTTCCCATGTGGCTTCAGCATCACAGAGCACTGTGTGGTCACTGCACTGCCACAGCTGGTCCCCAACTTAGCATGTAAGAGCCAGGTAGCAGTGTGTGTTCTGCCGTGCCTATGGCCCTGCAATCCCAGGGCTGTCCCTAAAAGGAGAGCTGCACTAGGCACATTGCAAAGCCATGAGAGCACTGAGCCTTCCTAGACTAAACCCAGGGAAGTGCACCGGCACAGCTGCCTTGCCAATCTAACACATTCTGGGCCGCCCCATAGCATGCAGGGTGAGTGCAATGCATAAAAAGCTGACCCCAGATGGCCGACTGTGACTCGAATCCTGGCCCTGGTGGCTTGAAAGACGTGGCAGGCGTGTGTGTGTGAGAGACCGAATGGAGAAATAGAGAGGATTGCAGCGTGACCACACCCATTGGGGAATGCTTTCTCTTTCTCTGGTGAGCACTCACGCTGGGAACAAAATATAAAAACAAACAAATAATTTTAACATATTTTTCTTTTTAAAAAATAATTATTTATTTCTTTATTCATTTATTTTAATTTAACCAGAGACAGAGGGAAAGTGGGAAATCAAGCCACCAGGCCCGGGACTCGAACCATGATTGGCCATGTGGGAGTGTCCGGCGCCTTAACCACCATGCCACTTGCTGGTCCCAAAATAATTTAACATGTTTCTGTTGTTCTTATTAACAACTGGCCCTTCCCAAGCAGTCAAATTCACTCTGGGAACAGTTCTCTGTGTACTCTATTTTCCAGGTTTTTTGTTTGGCAGCCAAGTAGGAGGGGTAACTTCCTATTTCTCTGTGCTCTTGTAAAGCTTTAAGGAAGTCATCTCTGTGGAGCTCCTAGCCCCAGGTAGGACCTTGGTGGATGTCGTTGCTTTCCTGAGAGCCGTTCACCACTGGGAAATGTCCCAGAGCGGCTGGTGGGTAGACAGGCCAGGGTCGCCACCTGGTGGCTACATACAGCTATTGCTTAAACGAACACAGGAATGCTGCTGCCTCAGGATCCTGAAATTTCAGCTCCTTGTGCAGAAGCTGCAGGAGCTGGGGAGGCTACTTGGGCCTACGTAGGGAGCTGGGGGTTGCTGAAGAAGGTGAAGCCACCATAGCTCCAACAAGGTATTGCTGTGTGAGGGCACAGACCCAGGAGTCCCCTATCCTGTGAATTT